AATAAATTTATATAAAAATAACGAAAAAAAGCTAAATTTGTCGATTTTGTGTTCAAAAGAAAACTATATCACCCTTTCCAAAGCGAACAACTCACAAAAAAAGAAATTAATTCCAAAAGAAATTTAAATACATAAAAGTGGGACTAAAACAAAAAAAATAAAGTCGACCAGAAAAACGTGAATTTGAACCGAAAAAACTAACGAAAAGTACCGATAGACCAAATTGCACTTGAACGAAACCCAATTGAAAAAAGACACGCCAGAAAAAAGAAATGATAAAAAAGCGGTACGAAAATAAGCGACTGACACTGATCAAAATAGGTTGAAAGCAAACTATTTTTCATCTAGGAAAAAAATGAATCACCAGAATAAAACTATGTACCTCTCGCTGCATTATGCGGGTACCCTACTAATTCTGTTGAAGGAGAGTGATACTACCTTCGCCTACTTTTACTGCATATAGTGGCCCTACATGTTTTGAAAATATCTATACAATCAACAACATAAAACACCCCACATTTCGAAAAACAGTTCTTAAAAGAGGGTTAATAAAATCCGATGATGGTTTATCACAATGTCTTACAGAGACATCTTGTTTTTAGTTTTCCAATGCTCTTAGAAGGCTATTTGCAATTATATTGACTTTTTGTGAGCTAGGAGATGCTCGAAAGTTATGGGATGATCATTAAATTGCTCTTTCAGAAGATTATAAGTGACAATACAAAAATGTATAGAAAGTTTGATCTTCTAAAGAAAAATGAAAATGTCGATTTAGAATATGGAGTTTTCATGAGGTACAAGAAGAATTCTCAATGGTTTGAGAATCTGAACATTTGCATGCTCGAAATTTTCTCAATCCTGAACAAAAATTTACGCCTGATGAAATCATGTGTCATGTCCATATCAATATTCAAGGAGTCTTCTTCATAGATGGTCTCGGTGGAACAGGAAAAACATTTTTTTACAAAGCTTTACTTGCTAATATTCATTCATGTGGTCATAGTGCACTCGCGGCTACTTCATCAATTTACAAGATTAAAAGACCAAGTGGTACTACTCAACTACTTCGTATTGCAAAAATAATCATATGGGACGGAGCGTCGATGCCATGTTCCTATTCAAGCTAAAGATGAAAATAGTTTTCAATCTGATTATGTTACGTGATGACAATCAATAAGTTCTCATGGACAAACAATTCCAAATCCAGGTATTTATCTTCCAGAATCAGTTTTTCTTGCACGACCAACTTTATGTGACATTATCCAGAGAGATATCACGTGTCAATCTAAAAGTATTAGTGGAGCCCGACGAACAATTTAACGGTAATGAATTTTATACATCAAATGTGGTGTAAAAAGAAGTGTTGCACGATTAATAATGCACAATCAATCATATGTTCATATACATTTGTAAAGAATCTCTACTTTTCAATTTTAATTTTTATTGATTTTTTTTTCTGCTAGCATGACTCTTATTGATAATTGTTTACAAGTAGTAAAGTATTTGCACAAAAAAAAACTAATCGTATCTAGAAACTAATTTCTGAAATAAATTATTTGCACGTGTGGGCGGGGCCCGTTATGCAAATGTGGGCATGGCTCGTATCTCATTGGGCGGGGCCCGTTATATGATATGTATGATATGTGGTGTAACATCCCAAGTTCGGAAACAAGAAGTTGGAGGGTGCAAAGTGTAAATTTAGGAAAGGGACTCGACGAGTAGGTCC